TTGGGCCAAAATTGGGTTGGGAAGGGGGTGGGGTGTTGGGCCATAGGTCCATGAAGAATTATATGATTCAATGATTAATTACAATGCATTCCCCTTCTCTTATATACATGTAGGAAGATTAAGAATAAGGAAACTGACATTAATGATGAATCCTATACAAATATAGAGTCTACCATATATAATGATACTTTTAAATATGAATCATTACTTAACATATTTAACAACAAAATATGAAATTACTCCCCCAAAATAAGATTATACTATGATTGAGCAGGCACAATAGCCTAGGAACAGTCATTAGTAAAGATAAAGAATTAAAGAGTGGTAATTTTTTTTGTATGAGATAGGGTGAGTAATATATATGCATGACGCAACTATTCTTAGAGCACCTACAATGGTGCCATTAATCACCGTTTAACATTTTGAATGAATGCATCGGATGGAGAGAGGTTTTAAAGTATTTTAACTTTTAAACACCATCCATGATGAAAAAATGGTGTCACCCTAAATTATAAAAGAATTCTAATCTTTTCTCTTTTTAACAAGCCAAAACGTAAGAAAAAAAGCAAATACATTAATTTTATGTTTCAAATGTACACCCACCATTTCTTTGATTTCATATTTTAAATTATAAGAATAGTTATATTATAATAAGTAATTAATAAAATCATTATAATGAGTGATTTTAATTTTATCACAAATTTAATTAATATAATGAATTATAATTAATATTATCACTATTTAATTATAATAGAAATAATTATTCTAACAATTAACTATAACTAATATAATACTTATAGCTGAACATATTTGGATGGATAGTTGAACATATTTTGACATACTATCATAATAATAATAAATACTAAATAATAAATAATAATAATAATTAATTAAATTTTAACGTGGTGGTTGCATTTCAATTGATGTAATGTCTTTGATAAGTTTTTTTGGAAAAAAAGTATTTTTATTTAGTAATTATAGTTTGATTTAATTTATATTAAATTTTTGTAATTTCTTCTCTAATTTGATTCTTAAATTCATTAAATTTAACATTTCTATAGTTTATTTTTCATTTATTATGTACGGAGTAATAAAAAAATTAACCTTATTTTATACTTATTTAAAATAATGACTAAAGTAAATTAAAAGTGGGACTCATTAATAATTAAATGCATGAAATGGATTGTGAGTGTCTATTTAGTGAATAAAGTATTTAAAGATAATTTAAGCTATTTGTACACCAATAGTTGTACCCCATTTTGTGCTAGTGTGATGTTAGTGTGATTATTTACATTGGCAAAATATGTCAGCGTACATTTTTTAATTAAAGTAACATTTTCTGCCCGTGTGAACCATTAAAATGTCTGTATTTGTTTGGGGTATAATTTGGAGTACATTTTTAGTGTACCCCTATCATGGTTGATTTAAAGATAAGTGATGTGGTACTGATGTGCAAGAGAGAGAATGATTGGATGAATAATTTTTTTTATTAAGGGATGTGGGTGCTGTAATTGGGTTGTCCTTTCACATGAAATCTCATAGGGGTGAGCAAGTACTGAACCGATACCGAAATTTCCCAAAAAAACTGAGAATACCAAACTGAAAAATATCGAACTGAAAATGTACCGAGAAGGAACCGAATCGTACCGAGCCGAATGGTCGGTATGATATTTGGGAATGGTACGATGTGACGTCCCATACCGAAAATCTCGAACCGAACATATATACTAAAATATTATTAAAAAATAATACCACACTGTAATATTTTTATATTCCTTCACTAAATAATAATTTAAAAAAATTGGTTCTAGATCTATTATGTGTAAATTATACTTTTATTTGGGTTTTAGTTTTTGTGTGTGAACATTAAAATATTCAGAAAGATTCGAAATACTCTTGTGTTGTCGTTCATTTTTTAGTTTGTAAAATATAAACTAAGTTTTGATACGCATCTTTTGCATTTGAATATTCAATTTTTTAAATTTTTATGTTTTTTATTTAAATTCACTTTTAATTTTCAAAAATAAAGGGGCATTGTTAAATTTTGAGGTGTAAAGTAGGTATGTATATTCATCCCGATTTGTATCGAAAACAAACCATCTGGAACCATACCGAACTGATATTTCGAAATCGATACGGAGTAAAATCTCATTACGAACTAAAATATTTGGTACGATATCGGTACGAGCAAAATACCGTACCGTACCATGCTCACCTCTAAAATCTCAAGTGTTTGGTTATGTAGTGTCTCACAAGT